CTAAGAACTGTTTCTACCACAGTTAAGTAATAGTTAAGGGTGAAAGCGGGACAGGTAGTGATAGTATTTCTGATCCATACTTATAATCACGCCTGTAACCCTTGCGGGGTAGGCAGAGCATCAACAGATTACTTAATATCGTCTGCGAGGTTATTGCCTATTCTGTGAATTACAATGCACCAAAACGTTTGAAGAAAATCAGCTGGTGAATTTTATGTTTTTATCGCTCTCTTCCCGGTCCTGCGTGGAAAAATACAGATCCATACATTTTTTACTTAATTTTGGTAAAAAAACATAATAATCCAGATATTCTGATCTTCTGTATTCGTCCATCGTACCGTCATCCGTCTTGTAGAATCACGGTGGCGCCACCTAGCTGAATCTAATTTTGTAACATATTCGATTTTCCCACGGGAATGAGATGTTTTTCCGCGGATAAAAGTAGCCTATGTCACTCTACAGCCACCGAACTATCCCCATATCAAAATTCATGCCATGCCGACGCTCTGTTGCGACGTGAAAGAAGGACAAACAAACAAACAAACACACTTTCGCATTTATAATATTAGTATGGATTATATATATGCATCATTATATTATATATAATAATTATTATACATATATTATACAGGATGTTAGTGTAAACACCGTTATCCTTGAAACCAGTGGTTTGGTTTCACTTATAGAACTTAAATTCAATGAAAAATAACAACATTTTTTTTTAGTAAAATCTCAATTTTTCTTTTATTCTTCAATTTTTGCCTGTCCTAAGCCAGAATGAAAATATGAAGGAAAAGTTACATCACAGGTTATGTGTACCTATTGTGTTTTTATTGGAATGTTGTGTAGGTAGCAAGAGCGGTCGGTGATCTTTACAGTGATTACGTCACTCGGGCGCATAGGGTATCCATGAATTTACGGTCGGTGTCGGACAGAAACTTTTTAAATTTTGTGAAAAAAAAAAGGCATTTTTTTTTATTGGGTTAAATAATTTTATATTAAAGTTCCACTAAACACCGTTGTTACTAAAACCTTCGGTTTTAGTAACAACTGTGTTTACACTTACACGTTGTATATATAAAAATGCAGTAGAAACTTTCTGGAATTGTTTTCAAATTGCCATGAACTTGTTCCCCCGACTATATTAAGCCTTCAAGTGGTAAATAAAAAAAATGAATTTCAATAAGATTTATGTAAAAATCAATATTGAATAAAAAGTATTCTATTCTATACTATAATCATCAATAAATAAATTTGGATGGTCTGTGAACGAGTTTAAAAAGGCTACTTTGCGTTTTTGTTTTAGTTTATATATTTAGGTTATTTTTTCAAAGAATAAACGTAACAAACGAGCATACAGTCCACCCAATGCTTTGGCCCATAGACATCTACATTTATACTCGATTAAGAATCAAATGCAGATGCGTTGTCACCCATGAGAACTAAGATGGAATGCCTCTTTTCCAGTGAGTAGGGTATCCGGTTCTCTACGCTCACTATACAAAACACATCAGCATTGAGCTGCTATTTTATGCTGGTTTACCGTGAGATTGTGGATCTCCCCCAATTGAGCCGACACATTCATTTTGCAACTGTATGTAGCTGCAGCGTGTCGCCGTGTATTGGCGGCTGAGAATATCCACTACCCCATATCTTGCCGATGGTGCCGTGAGAGGTGACAGTCCCTCAGGCAGGCAGGAGATGCGCAGCAGCATCTTCCTAATAACAACAATAATATAATAAAAAAACTGCGTTTGCCAACCCGCTCGCTAAGCGTGGCAACTATAACAAATATCCCCCCATGAGCAACGACGCAAGCAAAAGGCCTCCAGTCCCCGGCGGCCCCGCTATTCCTGGCTACGGTGGCGACCATGGTAACGGCGAGGCAGGGGGTGCTAAGAACCTCCGGTGGAAGTTCGGTTACCACCTACGACGACTCGACCTGGCAACATATAACGCACGCACCCTGAGGACTGACGAGAAGATCGAGGTCGAGGTAGACAAGATACGCTGGCATATTATTGGATTATCCGAAGTCCGAAGAGAGGGGGAGGACACGGTAATCCTCGGTCCGGTTCTATCACCAGGAGGGCGACCATCTGTCCCAAGGAGGTGTCGGATTTATCGTCCACAAGTCTCTCGTCAACAACGTTGTAAAGATTGGGAATGTGTCGACGAGGTCGCGTACCTGATACTCATAATCACCAAACGGTATTCGCTGAAGGTCATACAGGTTTACGCGCCAACCTCGGCACATCCCGATGAGGAGGTGGAGGAAATGTATGAGGACATTTCCAGAGCCACGCATTCCTCCAAAACTCACTACACGGTGTTGATGGGAGACTTTAACGCCAAACTAGGTACAAGAGAAAGCAGTGAGCTGAAGTTAGGGAAATTTGGAGTAGGGCAACGGAACCGGTGAGGGACTCTGTCTTTCAGAAGCGACCCCACAGGAAGTGGGCCTGGTCGAGGCCCGACGGTTCGACAAAAAATGAGATTTGACTTCATTATGACGACCAGGCGCCAACTGTTCAGTGATGTCTCAGTGATCGCGAGGGTGAAAATTGGCAGCGATCCACTGAACTTAAACGTTAAGTTGGAGAGGTCTCGTCTAATGAAGTCAATGCTCTGTCCCCCTCGTGCGCTAATCCAGGGTCCAGAAAACTTTCAGCTCGAATTACAAAACCGTTTTCAGTGCCTAGAAGATTGCAATACAGTGGACAATATGAATGACAAGCTCGTGGAAACTGTCCATGTGGTCGGAGCTAAGTTCTGCAAGACCCGCCGCAGAAGAACACAAAAACTCTTCGACCACACTCTTAATCTCATGGATGTTAGATTGAAGATGTAGCTGCAGTCGTCAGCTTTGACAGCATACAGGCAACTGAACAGACAGATCTCCAAATGCATGCGGCAGGACTTACGTAACTTCAATACTATCTATATCTATACTATCGAGCGGAACCAGGGCTCCAGTCTTTGCCAGAGATCGGTCTGCCAGTAACAGCCAACATTCAAAGCTGAAGACTACGTGTGGCAGCATCGCTTCCGGGACACCTGAGATCCTGAGTAAGATTGAGAGGTTCTATGGGCAGCTGTACACATCATAGTTGGAGCCACACGCAAGGATAGTTATGATCCAAGAGCAAGTCTTATCCGACACTATTCCGATGATATCTCGGACGTCAGTCTGAGCAAGATTAGAATGGCTCTCCAGCACTTTAAAAACGACAAGTCCCCGGGCGAGGATGGAATTACAGCGGAGCTTCTGAAAGCGGGTGGAAAACCGGTACTAGAAGTCCTTCAGAAGCTCTTTAATACCGTCCTCCATTGAGACACTACTCCCGAGGCGTGGAGCAGAAGTGCGGTGGTCTTATTCTTCAAGAAAGGTGACTACGCCCTCTTGAAGAACTACAGACCGACATCCCTTCTAAGCCGCGTCTACGTGCTGTTTTCGAGAGTCATTACGAATCGTCTCTCACGCATACCCTTCGGCAAATTGTACAGAACTCCGAAGAGTACAATCTACCACTTTGCCTGGCGTATGTGGACCATGACAAGGCCTTTGATTCCGTCGAAATTTGGGCGGTTCTACAGTCTCTTCAGCGGCGCTAAGTTAACTGTCGGAAGTGCTAAAGTGTTTGTAAAGTAGGAGGCTACGATGGCTATTCGAGTACAGAACTAGAGTACGAAACCTATCCAACCGCAGAGGTGTAAGACAGGGTGACGTTATTTCCCCGAAGCTCTTCACCGCTGCATTGGAAACGTTTTCAAGCTACTGGACTGGAAAGGATACGGTATTAACATCAATGGCGAGTATATCACTCCCCTTCGATTTGCCGACGATATAGTCCTTATGGCAGAATCGCTGGAGGACTTAAGCACTATGCTCAATGACCTCAATAGTGCCTCCCAACGGATAGGTCCTAAGATGAACATGGACAAAACAAAGATCATGTTTAATGTCCATATCACACCTATGCCCGTAGTTGTTGGGAACACTAAGCTCGAAGTTGTTGACGAGTACGTTTACCTGGGGCAAATAGTCCTATTAGGTAAGTTCAACTTCTACCGAAAGGTCAATCGACGGATCAACTCGGCTGGGCAGTGTTCGGGAAATTACGATACATCTTCTCGTCAGGTATACCTCAAAACCTGAAAACTAAGTTGTACAACCAGTACGTGTTGCCAGTGATGACCTATGGAACCGAGACGTGGTCCTACACTGATGGCCGTATGAGGACGCTTAAAGTCGCTCAGCGAGCTATGGAGAGGGCTATGCTCGGGGTTTGTCTGTGTGGTAAACTTATAAATGAGGATATCCGCAGTAGAACCAGAGTGATCGCCATAGCCCAACGGATTAGTAAGCAGAAATGGCAATGGGCCGGCCATATAGCTCGAAGAACCGACAATCGTTGGGGAATAAAGATTCTCGAGTGGCAGTCTCGTACCGGTAGGCGAAGTGTAGGGCGACCCCCCACTAGATGGAGTGAAGACCTGTTAAGACATGGAGGAAGTCGATGGATGCAGGTGGCTCAGGACCGTGCTTTGTGGCATACCTTGGGGGAGGCCTATGTTCAGCAGAGGACTTGTGAAGGGTTGTAATGATGATGATGATGATGATAGCTGCAGTGTGGCTCTATCACATTTCCGAATTAATTACTATAACTACTTATTTACTATAACTTATGTTTAGTTATTTACCTAACGTATTAAGGCAATCCTATAGGGATAATGATAAGCATCTTTTCATGTCAAAATAACAGCTTTTTACTATATGTATATGGAAAGTATTTACCGTTGTACATTTTTGTCTGTCTTTCTGTTTGTCCGGCTAATCTCCCAAATGGGATGGAAACTCACTGGCAGATGATGTTATAAGAAGTAACTTAGACTACTTCTACAAAACAAAAAAATGAAGCCCATGAAATACAATACTAATAAATTGCACGCGGACTAAGTCGCGGGGATCAGGTAGTAAATAAATAAATGAGACTGACGGAGTACTCGGCCCAGGCCTTGCAGACGAGCGCGCAGGTGGCGAGCTCGTGCGGCGTGAGCTTGGTGAACACGGACAGCACGGCTTCGCGGTCCAGCCACGGCGAGCCTCCACCCGCGCCTGCTCCCCCCGGCGACCCGTACGCCGGCCGCACCGGGTACAGCGGCTTCTTCAGCGCCTGCTCAACACACATCACCATCTTCATCATTACAGCCCTTCACAATTCCATGGCTTAACGTAAGCTTTCCTCAAGGAATGCCAGATGCATTATCCGAGCTACTTGCATCCATCAACTTTCTGCATGTCTTACCAGGTCGTCACTCCTTCTAATGGGGGGCCACCCTCTACACTTCGCCTACCGGTACGAAGCTGCCACTCGAAAACCCTTCTTCCCCATTGTGGTGGTGGCGGTGGTCGGTTCTTCGAGCTACATGGCCAGACCATTACCACTTCAGCTTGCTTATCCGTTTACTCTGGTTCTACTACAGATGTCCTTATTTTTAAGTATATCTCGAAAATAAACCCAAAGAATAGCCCTATCCATAGACCGCTGAGTGATCTTGAGCTTCCTCACACAGTACCATGTAGCGGCAGTGTAAGAATATCCACTACACCATATCTTCCCTTCGGCGTCATAAGAGGCGTCAAAGGTAGACTTAAGCAGGATATGGGCAACAGCATCTTCTAGATAACAGCAACATAACAATAAAACAAACTGCAGTTGCCAACCCTCTCGACAAGGGTAGAAACTATGGCAATATTTGCAATTATACCCCCATGGCAAGAGCACAAATCAAAATTTGTATTAGGTGTCTAATACAAATTTTGATGAATGGAAAACCAGTATCATGAAATTTTTTCCTTTTGTTAATGAATAAGGGTGATAAGCAAGTACACAGCCCACCTGATAGCAAGTGGGTGCTCTGGCGCTTAGACATCTAAATCTATCCTTGTTTATTAAGAATCATAATGCAGATGCATTGTCAGCCCTGAAAACTCAAACAGAATGCCTCGTATCCAGTAAAGAGGGTCTCCAGTTCTCTACACACACCATACAAAACAGTAGCATTAAGATGCTATTATACACTGGTATTCTGTGAGAATGTGATCCTACCTCGATCAAGCCGACCCATTTGTGCTACAACTATAACACAGCTGCAACATGGCTCTACCACTCCACAAAAAAATTTTAAGTCCCAACTATTTGTAAAGCTTAATCTCTATCCGAGATCTAAGAATTTATAGTCAACCAAATCTAATACAAAATGTATGCTTGGTGCAATAAGTCTGACAGCTGTCAGACTTATTGCACCAAGCATGCCAACCTAAAAATGAGAACGTACAATATTCGATTCTTAAAAAAATTGATATCGATTATTTAGAGTTGGTAATCATTTACAGTTTGGTTTGAATAATACCAGAATAAATTAGAAACGGATAATTTAAAACACAAGATTTATCAGTTTCTTCGTATTTATTGTTACTGCTTACTTCTACAGGCAAAGTTATAAAAAATTAGATTGAAACTGGATTAAAAATAAACTTTCAGTACAACTAGTTGTTGTTTAGGTTAATTATTATTTGATTTTCAATAATGCAGTTTAAATTAATGTCTCTTTCAAAGACATTATCCCATGTCCCATCCATAATCATTTTTTTTTGTTTTTTCTATCTCTTACTCAATCAGCCTTTGAGACATGGGCACATGCTTCAACGAATATAGAAGAAACAGTCCAAAAAGTTAAAGCCGAGTCACAAAATAAGAAGACAAACACAAAATCATAAAATAATGCACAGTAAGCTCCCGAAATGGCGGGAGATTGAAATTACGTAGTCGTTTTTTCAGCGCGGCCTTGTATACGAGTTTTTTATCCTACACAAATTTACGTTGACAAAATAAAAAAGTAAACTTGTTTTATTCATGATTCATGTAATTTAAGGAATTTTTATAATATTAATTTATTTCAACAAATAATACATAAAAAAATTAATGATTCGATAATTTGAATATTTTTGCCGATTATTCGCATAACGATAAATTTTAATCATCCAAACACTACGGTAAGAAGCGGAATGAAGAAATCTCAATAAATTGAATACCTCCCAAGCAAAGCAATTTTCTACACATGTTTCTGTTTGAACATGTTTTAGATTAGTTAATTACAGACTATGATATGTAATTACAGATTATGATTAATAATAAATTATAAAATTGAAGAAGCGACACATCAATAGAAATGCTGCTTTTTCATGCGGATCTTAACTAATTATTTTTACGTCTTTTTTATAATGGATTTCCTTAAGTAACATGTGATTCCGTTAATTTATGTTACTAATTGACAATTTTAAGTGTATATGTGTAAGCAAAAAGTAATTTATTTTATAATCTAAAGTGGAGCACTCTGTAAATATAAAAATGAGTTTTTATACTTTTATATAAATACAAGTGCATAAATTTTCACCCATTTTGTATCTGAAAAAAATTACTAGTATCTTAAATACCAGCTATATAGCATTTGTTGACAACTTTACCCGCGTGTTTTGTAAAAAATAATTAACGGCTGAGCTACGGCTGGTACTACACATAAATAATACCTGGAACTAAAGAAGTTTGTAAATCATACCTTTGCGCTGTGATGGGTGAGCTGCAGAGCTAAATGTGCCCGTAGCGCCTGTTTCTTAGGCGCCTCATCCTCGTGGCTGGAGCGGCGTTTCTTGGCTGCCGGCTCCCACTCCTCCTCAGTCCCACCTTCACCATCGCACTCTTCGCGCTTTATCTCTGTAAGCAATCAATATGTTTACCTAGCATAATATTGTTAAGACAGTTGCATCCAAAAATCTATATTTTGATATATTTGGACGTATCAGCCAGAATAAGAAGGATCAATGTATTATGGGAAAAACTAAAATGTAAACAATTAAAAATTAACCTATGTTGATAGGCATAAAGCCTCTCATTTTGAACCGTGAATGTTCTCAAAATTTGAATTTAAATATACAGCCTACATACGTCACAACTGGGCACAGGCCTCTGTCCCAGTGCATTGTAGACGGTTTCCTTCACGGATCTTTGAAATATTTCATTTTAATTTTAAATCAACCATTTTCACTTCACTACTAAAATGCTACAGAGCTCCTTTCTTCCCCGTCTTTTTAGCTTTAATATAAGAATATTTAAATCCCCTTTGAAATATAAGCATTGCATGAATAAAATCTCACCATCTTCAGATTTAAGATGTAAAACATCATTCTTGCTCTCGCTATCTGATCCAGGCTCAGATTTGACCGGCCCAGGAGGTGGAGGTGGTGGTAATTTGTTCTGTGGAAGAATACAATATATATAGAATGTAATATGTTGTTATAATAAATTAAGATAATAAAATACCATAAAATCATTTAAAGTGTAAGGTATGTATAAAAATAAAAGTTTATATTTCTAATAATACGTCCATACAAACCTGTAAATTATTATGATGTTGGCCAAGTTGACTTACATCCGATCCAATGCTCATACGCCGTAGATCTGAGGACTTCTGACGCGCTCGGAAATGACGTGGCTATGGAAGGAAATAAATATAACGTGAAAAAATAAAAAATAATATACCAAAAATTTAAGTAAACATATAAGACAGAGACAGAAATATTATCGTATTATATATATATATATATATATATATATATATATATATATATATATATATATATATATATTTCAGACAGAAAATATAACAAAATATTTTTAAAGCGTAACAGCGGGTATACTGATGACAATGTATGTTTAAAATATGATCTTATCAATATTGAGAACATATCGTCAATACTATAAAATGAAACAAATCAATATATTTAATAATCTAAAATTTATGTGATAATAAAAATTTAACAAGACACCTAATTGTTATTATTATATGGGTGGCAATATTTTTAGATCCTGCTCGACGCTTTGACATCGCTGTCTTTTCTTTGTAATACTAGGCACTCACATATAACCGAGGAATCAACTAAAATGATCCAATGACAAGCGGCAAAATATAATAACACCTGTCGTCTACACATTCGTTGCATGAATGATTTTGGCTTAGGCCAAGAACGGACTTTGTTATTGTAGTTACTGTCTGCCACCATAGAATACTATAATACACAATAGAAAGGCTGTCAACCTTATTTTGTACGAGGGTCGGCGTCGCCGGGAGCACACATATAAGCAATTACGTCTTATTATCACCACTACAAACCCGATTCGCTGTGTTGACAGACTGGGAAAATTTAAACATTTAGACTTTTGATTAATATTTAAGATCATCATTAAAAAAAGTCGTTTAATTTTTAATACATATTTGTTGGTAAACAGTGTGCAATTTGACATTATTTAAATAATTTGCATGCGAAATTTGGAAACGGTTGTAACGTCAAAACACCTCTCGTGTTGACAATTATACGTGTGAATTGACATGTTAGTGACATTTTAGTGGCTACACGGGCTCCGCCTACTCCCCCGTTCTATTATGTATGTATCATAGTATTCTATGTCTGCTACAATCCAATTTCAAATGTAAACAAATGCTTAAGCTACTTTTATTTACAATATTTTAATAAATATATTGTGAGGTACATTTTTATTTTTTTTAATTACAAATTGTTAATTACCCAAACATTATATTTATATACGAGTATGGAAAGTTGAATCGGAACAGACTTTATACCATTATAGATTGGATAATGTGTGGCGACATGGTAGGTGAGCTGACCTTGTAGTCGTGGTTGAGGCCCATGGTGGTGCAGGTGGGGCACTCCCAGGAGTTGGGCAGGTCCTCGTTGAGTTGGCCACCGGGCGGCACGCAGCCCGGGTGTACGATGCTGTAGCACACCGAGCACTCGCGCAGCGACGACGCCCCGTTGCGCCCTGCACCTCGTCAAACATTTATATTATATTTCCATTGGATAATACGTACGTAACGAAAAATTGGGTCTAAATAGGTGAATCAAATAGAAGCATTTGCTATGGTATACATATTTTTTGAAAAATAATACGAATTTGAAGTAATTTTTTTACCTAGTGGCCGGCTTTAAGATCAAGGGCACCATTATGACACAAAATAAATAATAATTTAAAAACAGACGGATCACTCTGATAGCAAACTTGCGAGTTTAAACCTAGTTACCACAGTCGCTAATGTTCATAATACTTTGCACGCCTCAGAAGTGACCTTCGTGAAAATAGCCTACCGATTCAATCGTCAAAAAAATTAATGCAGCGCGCGTAGTAAATCAAAATGCACCTTACGTCCGCGTGCGTGTGTCTGTATCACTTAGCCCGTTACGCACTTTTGTTAAGGCCGCTGCAACTGAAGGGTTAGGTGTTGTAGGAAAATAAATTGAATTCTTTGATATTAGTTGGTAGTAGAATACATCGAGGTGTTATGCAATGTACTAGTAATTTGCTGATAATAAGAACATTAGGGTTCAATGTAAGAAAGATTAATACGCAAAATCTGGAAAAATTAAGATTATAACAACGTGAACGTCTTTGAAATTCAGATAATTTACTTACTTACCATTTTCTGTTTAACATTTTTTTTTTTGTATTTATAAACACGCGACGGTATTATTAATGAAAGAGTGGCAATGGGAAGTGCTATTATTTTCAATCTCTTTATTGTACTGACTAAGTGTTTAACGAATAACCGGTATATGCTGATCTTGCGTTAGCTAGTAGGTAATAACTCAGTATTACTGTATATACTGGAGCGGAGGTTTACTTACACTAAACTATTATTTAGTCATTGACATTATACGCGAAAAAACGGAAAACTGCGAAGCTGTGGTGGGGTCGCTCGTCAAATAATTATCTAGATATACCTATAAATAATAATATCTTTTTCGATATCCATAGGAACAGTAAATAATGAAAAGTGGACATTCCTATTGTTATTTAAGTACTCGTATGCTATGCAGTACATCTGGGTTTTTGAGTGGCCATACCTGAATTGAAACTCAAAAATACAAAAAAATACTTTTTTGTTAACGTAAGACGCGCGTCAGCTCAAGCGCGCAAGTGACAACCTCACTGAATTAGCCTCTTGTAGTTGGCCGCGCAGCGTAGATATATTTTCATGCTTAAAGTGTGGAGTGAGACAGACCTGATATTGGCGAATTACTTGGTAATTTCCATGCGAGAAGTAGGGTGCACGATTGAATTTCAAAACAGTTTTCTCCGAAATTAAAGTTTTGTTTAAAAAATATATCTATGCCATAGGCAGCAAGTATAATTATATATTATTATTTTCTACATGGTAGAGCCTACATTGCAGCTCTATTATGGCGTTGCAAAAATAAATCGACTCGAAAAGTGGAAGCAAGTGGAAGAACCACGCTCTGGTAGAATACTAGCATATTGCTGATTTGTTTCATATGAAGGGCTGAAAACCCATTTTACTGGTAACGAGACAACCCATCTTATCCTTATAGGCGACAACACTTCCGACTTTTGATTATCATCATCGTCTTCATCATCACAGCCTATAAAAGTCCACTGCAGTGAATTTTGCCATAGTTGACACACTTGGCGAGCGGGTTGTTAACCACAGTTTTTTATTTTAGTTGCGTAGTGGCGGTGCAGGAATACCCAGTACCCCACATCGTCCCATGGGTATCGTAAGAGGCGACAGAGGGAAATTGAAACAGGTGATGGGCAGTAGCATCTTCATGACTTTTGATTATTAATTAAAAATATAATATGTAGATGTATTGACTACAATAGCTTCTTACTATCAAATGGAAAAAATACAGCATTTACTTCACATCTGATAGAAGCAACTATCTCCAAAGTTAGTATATCAAATGAAGCAAGTATTCCTCAACCTTTTTTAGCTTTCTATGGAACATAATATGAAATACTTCATTTTAAGATATAGTAACATAGTAAAAATATAATACGGTGAACATATAGCTGCACTGGATAAAATTGTTGCTCATGAATCTTAAATGCTCTACTCGTAATCTCCTTTATTCCATGTAACGCTAATATAATAAAATATGCGTGAGAGGCTCGCAGACCCTTGTCGTTAACACAGGGACATCACATCAAAAAACATCATCAAAAAACTTACAATCTGTGTGCTGTAAAAACGTTGGTTTCGGTTGTGGTTTAAAATTTTTTAAATTGTTGATAAATTATTAAATGAAATGTCCCTTTGTTGTTTAGTACAAATAGCAATTACCCGAGTTACCCTTGGCTTGTGGCGCGACGGGTGTTTGCATCCAGCCATCCAAGTGGCACACTGCACACGAAGCAGTCACGGGCAACATAGGCTGGAAAGAAGATACAAAATTATTGATTCAAAATAAAATTCATGTAGTTGAAACAAAACATATTGGCAGTAAAAATTAGCTTTATAATAACCGACAGAAAGAATACCGGTCGGTAGTCGGTCCTCCATGGCCCAAAACTTTCTGTCCATAAAAATAGAACATGTGGATTCGAGTTATATGACACAAACGGTGTATACATATTGTATTATACCCACGCAAGTCAGCAACTTAGGTGGACAAATCCTCAGTGGACTTTTGAATTTTATTATATATTACTTAAAACTCTATGGTGTGAACAATAAGTAACTAGTTTCTTTATGAGCGCTAAAATAAATTTATACATACTCAAGAGACTCATCTCTATTAATTAACTGTATGCGAACGTTCAATATATCATATTATTGCATAATTACTGTATAGTGGCAGCATAATAGAATCAATCACGCCATATCGTTGATGGATGTCGTAAGAGGCAACTATGAGAAAAGCTACATAGATCTTACATGGCCTCCGATATTTTGACTGTCTCGTATAATATACCAGACATGAAATACCCAAACCGGAAATGGGGAGCAATGTTTAAATTATCTGATACTGTGATCACCAATCCGCGAGACGTTTTTGATTTGAATCTGTAATAATTGTCATATATGACATTTACCTGCAAGCACTGACGCATAATGCAAGTCTGTTTAGCGCGTCCCAATCCACCAAATTTGACCATGTCGTGGCAGAACACACACTCTCCGCAGTCGGTACGTTGACACGCCTCGCATTTTTTACACCTGAAAGAGGAAAGCTATAATATAAATTATATTAGCTTACCGGTTACTTTCTTAACACTGTTGTTTTTCTTCATTACATATTTGATAATTAAATTTTGTATGTGGTCGTAATAAATAAACGAAGTAGGAAATATTGCAGTGCTACAAGTATACGCGCGGAGAGAAGACATAAGTTTATAATAACATTATAATTAATCATTTATCTACTATATTAAAAATAATGAAATAGCGGACATTTTTAGACGATAAAAATAAATTGTTTAAAAATGATTTGAAATTATTAACAAAATAAATAAATATTTACTAATTGGATTCATAGCACACTGTATACAAGTCGCCGAAAGTTAACAAAACAATGCGAAGCGAAGTTTGTAGTTTTTATAATTAGAGCAGGCAAAGCTTTTATATCACACAGCCTAGTTTGACGTGTTCACATAACTCTTCACGGTATGCTGACGTCAGTGGCGAAGCCTCTATACAAGCCAAGAAGTCCGGCTTGCCTCATTAAGATGAATCAATCAATAATATCGAGTAATAAAATAACACTTAAACTGTTTCAAACTATTTCAAATTTCCCGCGCACTCTGATCGACCTCGTAGCCTTACGAATACTGCTGTCATACATATAAGGAGAGTTGAATTGAGCGATTGGTTTTCTCCCCCTCGCACGCGTGGGCTTTTTACCTGGCTTTTTTCGAGAAAGTGATCGCTCCCTTTCTAACCTGTGGTAAAATGTTCTCTAATGAAATATAACCACGATATGTTTATATAGCAATTACTATTGAGCCACAAGCCTGGCTTTGCTCTGAAGTGTTTTAGGAGTGCGTTAGCGACTAGCGAATGGGGTGCGTGCCATTCGTATGCAAGTTCACTTCACATTTCAATGTTTATGTTTATGTTTGTTTTTGTTGTGTTTGTTAAAAATTTATGCTTTTTCAAAAATTTTCAGTGAAAATGGGAGGATAATAGTGTTCATTGTAATGAATATAAGTGTATTGAAGTGCTAATCGGCGAGGAAAAGGTAAAATCTTTAAAAATGAAATTTAATATTCAATAAACATTTCTTCATACTTTAAATATAGGTACAGGACTCTTTAGTATTAAGGTGAAACCTACGAACTGTTCCCAGCCATTCTCCCGCAAGATGGCGCTGAAGTCAACATTTTTAGTTTATTAGGATTTTTGTGTAATTGGAAAATTATTAAGTGGTAGGAGTAGACTGCGGTTATCGGATATTACATTTTATTGAAATGGGTCATATCATTGCCTCAAAATCCATCCAATTCGACATAAATTTTGATTATAACATCTGTCATTGAATAAAGTGTCGTTTACACAGACGTATCCCTACGTTTACGAAGCTAGAACACTAGATGGCGTGTATGTAAAAAAACAAGTTAAGTAAGTTAGTGGGTAAATCTTTGTTTCAGAGAGCACGAGGGATCTGTGACAGTAAACACCTGGCTGCAGAGCTCCACCATGTCAAGCAAGTTTTGCATGACAACAAGCTTCGAGTCCCGCGCGTACGTCACAGTGAACGAGTGAAGCCGGCCACAGTCGAGCGTGTACCTGCTATACTGCCATATGTTAGAGGAGTCACTGACAAGATTGGCTACATCTTGAAGCGCGCTTCCATCGAAACATACTTCAAGCCGCTGAAGAAGATTGGTCAGTTTTTACCATCAATCAAGTGTATTGTCCCTCTGCAAGATGCAGGAGTGTACAAGCTTGATTGTGAATGTGGTCTCTCCTACATAGGACAAACTAAAAGATCAATAAAAACCCGCGTTAAAGAACATATAGCTGATGTGAAGAATCGACGCTCCGGGAAGTCTGCAGTCTGTGAACACGTACAGGATCGCCCCCGTCACTACATCAGATTTGATAGACCGCAAATCCTCGCTAAAGAACACCGATTCCTTCCAAGGATGATTCGCGAGGCTATTAAAATCAAAAAACATCCTAATTTCAATAGAGAAGATGGCTGGGTGCTACCATCTGCTTGGGATCCTATAATAAATAAAATTAATCCCAACCCAAGCATACAACTGCAAGACTTCAAGATACCATAAGTTCATACTGCATAGATCGGAACAAAAGTTAAATTTTAATCTATGGTAACCGCGGTTAACTATGACATATGGACGTTGAACATCTCAGTCCCGCCCGTGACCATGAGTGCTGTAAAGCGTTCGAAACGTCGGGTATTTAAAAAGTTAAATATACGCGATAAATTCCGTAAAAACTAGTATTATTTCAAAAAACAAGTTTTTAATTTTTCTGTATGTGTAGATTGGGTAGGCAAAACTACAAAACGCTACGTACGATTGTTAAAAAATAAAATTTATATTTGTTTGCGTAAACTATTTAATTGATTTATAACTTTGGGAAATAAATCATGTCAACATTGATTACAATATAACGCAGTTTTATTTTATTACATTACACTATTGAATTTTTTATCAAAACAGAAGTACCTATTTGAAGCAACATAATTATACTGATACATGTCTATTCACTCAAAACTAATAACATTGATGATTTGTAACAGTACCAATTACTACAATAATTAGACATTTCATAACCAACACGTAAGAAACTATAATTCATAAACAAGAGATAACAACAAATCTATAACACGATTTATTTTGTGGTAATAACCAGGAAGTTTAAAAATAATATTTCCTAATTTCGAAGCACTCAACAAAAGCTTTTAGTAAAACAAAATATAAATCCTATACCTACGAGCAATTCTTATATATATATAATCGGAATCTCGGAAGCGGCTACAACGATTTTCATAGCGGCTACAAATTTAGTGTCCAGGGGTTTTTGGGGGCAATAAATCGATCTAGCTGGGATTCATTTTTAGAAAATGTCGTTTTGTCCGTGTTTTCAGGCAATGAAAAACTGCTACAATATAAGAAGGTAAATTTTAACACAATTATAATGATCGTAATAGCTCAAGTGGATAACGCACTGTCGCGAAATCGTAGTGCCCTGGTTCGCGTCTTGTCTTAGGATTGACTTTTTTCCCTTTTTTTCAAGTTCCCTTCTTTTGTGAGAAAATCTATTATTTCGAACCCTTCTTTTGTATTTTTTTAAAAATACGAAAATTTTATTGCACTCATGATTTTTCATTCTAATTCTATTCTTTCACGGGCGGGACTGATGACCCATGGCGGGACGAGACCATAAGTGCTGTAAAGCGTTCGAAACGTCGGGTATTAAAAAAGTTAAATGTACGCTATAAATTCCGTAAAAACTAGTATTATTTCAATGTGTAGTATTCCCGTAAATATAAGAAATCATTACGTACTGAATTATATTTGTTTCTGAACGCACCATAAATGTGAACTTGAGCTCTACAAAATATAACAAACAAATAATGTGTGTCTGAAACTGTTTGCAAAATGCGTAAAGGGTGTTTAATGTTTGCAAGTTTAATTTTGTGACTACTTTGGTAATTTACCGATTTATAATAATTGTATTTATTGTTGTCCAAAAACATATTCAAACACATTCATATACGAAACACTGACACGTATGAGACGTAGGAATCAGTATTGTGACGATATTTCAGAAAAATCACGGGCCAGCCTGCTGTTAATAATACTACCGAAAACATAATTGCGTTTTTAGAATAATTAATTATTATAACTACGATAAATTACAATATAGTCTCAAATATATACTAGAGAAATATTGCAATTCGAATCAATGAAAACATACATACAAAATATGTATAACACATAAGAAATTCCGCGCGCAAATCATAGCGCGTGGCAACCGAAATCAGAATATATTTTATAACAAGTCTAACAAGTGAACGAAGTTTGGCAACGCTTTTGTTTCGTCAATTCAAGGTCAGGAATACGTTAGTACTCTTATCAGTTTGTTGTCAGGAAGGACGGCAACGTCGCTTTACCTACGACTTTTGGTATTTATGTTGCCACACAACAATAATAAGTAATAAAATTGTTTACAAAAAACATAGGTGTCTAAAGTCATTAGTTTTATGTTATTTTATACTGTTTTTTTAACGATTGGAAAGGAAATTAACCTATTATTGAACTTAAGATATTGATTTATCAGAAATATTTAAGATCACTTGGATGCCATCTAGCGTGCCAATGTTTAAACGTCGCCTTTCGTTTGCTTGTCAAAAGTTACGCACACTACTAAAGAAGTGTCTAATTTTTCCGGGATTTCACTATTGTTTTTCTCAGTATATAATGTAAGTTATTGCCTATAAAGGTCAAACGCGTACACATTTCATTGTACAGAAGTGATAAAATGAATAGTTTTAAAGAAAGAGTGTCTGTGTTTAGTGTACATTTTGGTTAAAAAATGTATGGGCGGACGGTCGACGCATCCACCTTAAAGTTTAATTAAGTTAGGCGTATTTAAAGGTTTAATAACTCTATTTATATTACCATATGAATTGAAAATATCATTTTGAACGTCAGCATAAAATATGAGACACCTAGGTTTAAATTTTAAGGAAATAAGTGTTACAATCTTTTTTTAGCGTGAATCTCAAATTTTAATGTAATAAATCAAAAGAATACAGAAGAATGTATTGAGGTTTTTAAAGAATACTCCCTTTAGTTATTTCCAGTATATATAATTTTAATAAAAAAGTAAAGTCATTTTATCGAACGGAAATTGGTTGATTCTCACGATGGTACCTAAAGATTACGCTAGATGGCACAAATACGCTATCGGCTAATTTAATATTTATATTACCATATGAGTTTAAAATATATTTTGTACGGTTTATTATGAATTGAATATCATTTTGTACGGTTTATTATAAATTAAAAAAGAATAATTATATAATAAATAGTCATTATTTTATGGTAAAAAATTAGCAAAGCTTTATCTTCTCATTATTGGAAAAGCCACCGTGAAGAAGAAAATAAAGAAAAAAAAAACAAACAGGTAAAAAAGAAAGGATAACCCAAAAAACTATCTAATTCCTGTCGTAATCTGTTCTTTTATGCATATAACTTAAACAAAATAATTTCGAGGTTTAACATCTGCCAGGCGTCCCTTTTTTTAACTTTGTACATAGTTTGTTTGTACTTTGTTCATGCTTTTCTTTTGTTCATGTATTGTATTGTTTGTAAATATCTCAAGCAAACCCAAACGGCTCCTTTCAAAACCACCGAAGGTGTGCAATTGCATGTCATACAATCTATCTAGCGGTAGTATGCTTTCTGTGTGCTTTGTTAAACACGTCCCTGACAGCACTGAATATGAAACTAAAGAGTGGAGACAGCTCTAGATTGGTGTATTTTTATTAAACTGCTAAAAACAACAAAACCATATCTTGGGCTTGCCCTAGTTTGGAGCCCTAGTTTCGCCACTGGCTGACGTGTCACATAGCGAAGTTTTTGGAAGATTTTGACGACAGTTATGAAAGTATCTTAAGGCTTTTTGGCTTTGTTTGTCTTTAAGTTCAATTATACAGATATTGTTGAATACCCAAAATTGCATCACTCTACGAATTAAAATTCACTTCAAGCCAGTATTTAAGCGATAAAACAGGAGCGAAAATCCGCCGCCACCAAGATCACGCAAAATTTCCTGTCATTTCAACTCAAATCGTGTGCACAATTTTTTTTAAACAGACAAATAAATCACCTGGTGCGGCGTCGGCGCGGTGCACCGTTCGCGTGGTCGGGGCGCGGACGTGTCGCACCGCCGCGTGCGCCGCCGCGCGCGCCACGCCCGCTCGACTGCCGCCGCTCCGCCGGCGCCGTCTCCTCCGGCCCTGCGCAACCACATCGCCCATATCTATACTGTGTCTATACAAACTCCCTTAGTACAAAAATACTAGTTAGCAGATAAAGAAGTGAGACTTCTCAACCTTCCGCTAACTAAATACAATGATGTGTCTTACCTGGATTGAAGAGCACCTCCCGCCCTCCCTCAATTGCTTTTCAAGTGTTGTTGGAAGTAGTGGTGCCGGGAGTAGTGGGTGTTGGGAGTAGTGGTGCTGGGACTAGTGGTGACGGCGTTAGTGCATGCAATTGAGGGAGGGCGGGAGGTGCTCTTCAATCCAGGTAAGACATATTATGAATTAGATATATGAATAAGAAGTAATTAGTATTTTTATTGCAGCGGAGAATGTTCGAACTTAAATGGAATTCGAGAGCAAATGTCGAATTTCGCAGACTGTGACGCCGTAGAATGAATCTTTAGGTGAATAGAACTGGTAGAGCACTGCTGCAGCTATATTATTATGGTTGAGACTCAAATGGGTCGGCTCGATCGGGGTGAGACCGCGCTCTCACAGAGTGAAATAGCAGCTTAATTGCTACTGTGTTTCGTATGATGAGTGTAGATACCCGGAGACCCTTTGTACTGGAAACTAGCCATTCTATTCTAGTCCTTAGAGTTGGCGACGCATCTGAGTTTTGATTTTTAATGGAGGATGGATGTAGTTGTCTAAGGGCCACAGCATCCTCTTACCATCAAGTGGACTGTGTGCTAATTTCTCACCCTTATTCTATTAACCAGACAGATAATTTGTATATGGTATAGCCACGCTGCACCTATATTGCAGGAATCAACTAAGAAAGGACCACAATCTCAAAGTATACTCGCGTAAAATTGCAGTACGATGCTGCTGTGTTTCATATGGTAGATAGTACAGAATTTAAACAATTTTTTTAACAATGTGTTCCGATACTCAGGGGTGACAAAGCATCTACACTGATTCTTAATTGAAAATTGATGCTCTGAGCATTGTTTGATTATTTTTCAAAATCTGATAACAGATGTAGGAAAATTGAGAGACAATTGCAAGGAATAAGAATTTAATTTTGATCACTCTAGTTAGTTTATAAAGCGCTATGAATAGTCTTAACCACCATTACGCAATACGCAGTAACGAGACAAAAACAATGACTAACCTTTCAGAACCGGCACTCCAGTAACGGCTAAATGTTGTTTATCGTGCCTGTGTTGTTCTACGAGCGTACGCACGTCCCGAACAAGAGCGATTGGATCGGACAGCAGCTCCGGTACCGATTTTCGTGCCGCCGGCAATTGGTGTAGGTACATGACAATCGCCTGTAAATTATTATTTTTTATATTAATGCTTTGTTTCACAATTTTGTATAAATTTGGAAGGAATGCAGCTAGCGTTCTTAACACTATATCACAGGGAGTATAACAGTTGAAAACTTTAGTTTTTTTTAAGACAGTTAAAACATTTGCTATCAACCAATCCACTAGAAAAACCACACAATCCACTTCATAGTAAGTGGATGCTGTTGAGGTCTATAGATATAATCTCAGCAAACAATCAAGCAGATTCATTATCACCTGTGAATACAAACATTTTTTGTTGACGGCGTTTTCCACCCCAGTTGAGCCAACTTATGTGCTGTAGCCATAAAACAGCTGCAAAATGGCTTAACCATATAAACCTGGTCCAAGAATGCAAAACTAAATGACGGAATCAAATTAAATCATATAAAAAAGTACAATCTACAACTGAACCATTATGACAAGGTTTCATTCGCTCAAGATTTGAAACAGACAGTAGACATAAATAATGTACTTCCAAGTCCAAAATATCAGGTTTTTTTTTTTGACTGTTATCACTTTGCAAATCGTCGGGTAACAGGAAAAACTCACTAAGTACAAAAAGTAGGAAATTTATTTTTTTACACTAAGTATATTAAAATATCAATAACTTTTCCGCAAAAATGTCATAATGCAGGCGAAGTCGTCACGAAAAACATATCCTTCCAAATTCGCAATCGTTCACAGTTTAGTTCGCGCGCTCGTCGAGAATTGACGCTAAAATATGCGCTGCTATCACCGTGACGCTATGCGCTTTGGCTCACGACAATTACGTGTATATAAAAAGATACAAAAACCGTATTTGTAGTTTTTTTTACAATTATCACTTTCTCCTAGAAAAGCATTGATCACGTCAAAGGCAATCCAAATGGGCTTGTAAATTTTGTCGCTGCTTGCTCCAGACTTAGAATCCTTCACCTTTTTCTTATATTCTGGACTGGACATTAGACTTTTTTTTTAATCAGTCACTTCAACGCTTTACGTGGCAGAACCATGCTGCAGTTATATTAGTAGTATAGTTGTAGCACGAATGGTTGGACTCGGGAAGCTCGGCCGGGATAGGACCATGCTCTCACAGAATACCAACGAAAAATAGTAGCTTAATGCTGCTGTGTTCGTATAGTGAGTGTAGAGAACTGGAGACCCGTTTTACTGGAAACGAGGCATTCCATCTTAGTCCTCAAGGGTGACAACACATCTGCATTTTGAAACCTAATAGAGGTTAAATGTAGACGTCTATGGGCCACAGCATCCACTTACCATCAGGTGGGCTGTGTGCTAGTTTTTCACCCTCTTGTCACATTCTTATAAAAAAAATAACTCCATTGTTTATATTCGCTACTTAGTGATTTTTTCATGTCACCCGACGAAATATTGCATGGTATTTTAAAATGATTTAAAATAAATCAGCTAAAACCATTATCTTATTTCATTAAAATCGTCACTGGTCTAGCTGACTTTTGATAGCATTGAATCAGTATCAAATTATTTTATTATGTGCTGTATAACCCGGACATTAAATATTTTAGCACCTTGGAAAAGATAGGGTTATTTAAAGATGTGTGTATATATGCAGATTTAAAAAAAATAGAAATTATTATTAATATAGTACATTCCATTTATACCTTAAGACCATGCAACTCGTTTTGTGTGAGATGCACGTGTTCTTTGGGAGGCGACGGTGGGGTGGACTGTCCCTCGGGAGCGAGATGACTTCGTCCTAATAGGGCGCTCACGTACCGGTCAAGCACGTACCACAGCATCTCAGTGAAGAACGGGTAACGGAACTTCTGTGGTACCTGAAATTTAAAAAAAATACAACACATTAAAGTTGTATGACAACTGGCCGGCACTGCTCCACTGTTGAACAAAAACCCGATTATTTTATCGTCCATTTAGCCATAAACCGAATGAGGAAACGTAGCTGGCATTCTTGTCAACAAACCCCTGTTAAGCTACTTGGAAATTTTCAGTATTCTTAATACCGTATGTCGTTCATTTATTGAATAATGGCGACAAAGGTACACACAGTTCACTTGATGGAAAGTAAGAGGTGCGTGGCCCAGCATCACATACAAAATGCAGATGCGTTGTCACCCCTGAGGAATAAGATGGAATACCTCGTTTCCAGTAAAAAGGGTATCCGGTTCTCTACACTCACCATACGAAACACAGCAGCATTAGGCTCCTATTTTACATTGGTATTCGGTCAAAAGTTTTAATTCAATTTAGGCTTGTTTACAGTTCTTATGTACCACAAAAGGTATAAAAATTTAAAATTCCTATTGTATTTTGAGACGAAGTATATAAAAAAATTGTTAATAGATAACTTAATACTGTAAAATTTTCCTTGCATGGAGAGCACGCACATTTTGACTCAAATTATACTCTAAGCACAAAATAATATGCACAAGCGAAACATTTTAGATTTTTGTTTACTATAGGAAACAAAACCTAAAAAATAAGTAAAATGTACCTTAGTAACGTCTTCGACTTGCGCGATTTTAAGTTGTTTCTCAATTCCGAACTGATGCAAGAAGTTGCCTCCAAAAACGAGAGAGTCGCTCGGAGTGTACACGGCGTGGATCCAACCCGTCGGAATAAAGAATGTGTGACCGGCTTGTAACTGTAAATATATAACAATATGCTTAAATTAAAAAGTTTGTTTTGTGTATTAATAAATGTTTTGTAATAGTCCCAATATATATGATACTGCATTTCACTGCAACCTTATTCCATTCGACAATATCGGCTCAATGACTGTTCTCTAACATAGAAAGACGATCACGGGAATTCCCCCCACATTATAATAAATTCAGTTTAAAAAAAGTTAGTATTTTAAATAACACTTACGTGGACTCGAATGCATTTCTCAACGGTATCGCCAAAGAAGACATCAGATTGCTTGCCAGATAAGACCCACTTTTCGTACAACTGTAAGTTTTTCTCGGTGGGCGGAATAAGCCAAAACACTTTTGCGCCTGTAAAAACAAGTTAGTTTTTTTTAAAGTATTTGATAAGAATTTATGCATAATATGTATACTTATTTCATTTAACATATAATAATTTTCTCTATAACCGCGGCTTCACATTATCGCCGTGAAGCTCCGTAAATAGGCGTGAACGTGAATGTGGATGTTTTCGCGGGATTCACGCGCGTTCGCGCCTGTTCCCCGATCAGAGTCGGTATTTTGTCCCGCGACAACGGGTTCACGCACTCTTCGCGCGGCGTTCACGCGTACTCATCCACATTCACGGCCCCGTGCCAGTTCGTTTCGGACTACAAAGGCGTACGGACGATGTATTTTAGTCATACACCATCTTCTTTTTTTCCAACGCTTCCTAATAAATTTCTTGTTTTGAATGTCTAAATAATGATATGTTGCCGCAGCAAATAAAGTTATTGTAGCAGCAGTTTCTACTGCTAAGCATCTGAGACTTGTGCCGTGAATTCACGGCGATAATGTGGAACCGCCATAAGAGTGCATTTAAACCCAAAGTTATAATTATTTTGATATTCACAAGTGCTTCGTTAAGAGTCTACATGAATAAAGATATTTGAATTTATTTGATTATTTGCACAGTATACATATCACGATAAATACCTAAGTTAGTCTTCAAAATTCAAAGTGTCAACGTAGTGTTAACGTAGAGTATAAGTGAGCGAGTCTTATCGGTCAGCCGCCGTAGAGTCTACATCACCTGAGGATGTCTCGTGTAGAGGCGAAACACGTGTCGTATTGTCGTCGATGGTGTGTCTTTCCTGGAATAATGGTGTTGGAAGTAGTGGTGCCGGGAGTAGTGATGTTGGGAGTAGTGGTGCTGGGACTAGTGGTGACGGAGTTAGTGCATGCAATTGAGGGAGGGCGGGAGGTGCTCTTCAATCCAGGTAAGACACATCATTGTAACTAGTTAGCGGCAGGTTGCAAAGTAATAAATTATTTACTATAATGGATTTACGCAAAGTAACGCCTGATTCTATCAATTATCATTTCATGGGTGTCATAACAGACGGCAAGGAAATAAAAACCCCGAACCGATATGAAACCTATAGACTGACGGTGTGACACAGATTCAAAGATACGAGGCGCTTGGTACTGTAAATGTCAATTTACCTGCAAAGTGTGGCAAAGACGGTAAATCCTACTAGGGGAGAGACCATGATAAGGAAGGAATATTTCTAAAATTATAAATTGTCTTACCTCTTAAAATGTGGTACCAAACCGAAGTTCCACCAAAATCGATGTGAAAGTCAGTGTAGCATCCCTTAACTGACATGAGGCAATACTTTTGCACTTTAGGATACATCATGTCGTCCAGAGCATTGGTTGATTCAGTCTAAAATAGTTTTTTCATTCAATACAACGGATTGTTAGATCTGATATTATAGTTTATAGTAGGCATTAAAACCTAACTGCCCTAACAAATAATAAACTACGCTTTTTACACAATGATTTCAAGTAGAAAACGCAGTATTTTAACTCTCCCCCTAATTTTACGTTTCAACTTAATTTTCTTTTTACAAAAAGGGAGATTATAAATAAGTTTTGTAAGTAATTATTAAATTGACAAATGAAATCCAAATTAATAATATGAAGATTAACTACCTGTTGATCTTTCAGGTGTCGTGGCCACACGGTGTCCACCCAGTCGATCTGGCGCACTATTCGCGGCGCTTGCACATAATTCTCCAACCGGGTATGAGAGAACTCTAAGGAAATCACGTTAAGCAGGCGTTCTTTGTTCGCATCATCGTAATATCGATTCCAGTCCTGCAAATAATAATTGATAAGTATATTAAAAATACTAAGTCATTATAACTTACACCCAATCTTGTAGAAAGTAATTCAATTTTAGAAAAGAATGCCAAAAGATTGAAGATTTTATTAATTTAGACTTTATAGTTTACACCTTAATTAAAGGGTTACACAACAGGTAGACTTGATGTCTTTAGGCATTCTCTCCCAGTCAACTTTGGGCAGATACTCCAATAGTCTGTTCCACGAGTGTAAACAATACTTTAGGTTTAATGAGAGTATAATTCTATACTAATGTAACCTATAATAATAGTAACATATGACTTTAAACTTAAAAAATAATAATAATAATGTATTAGCTAACACCATCTTCTGTTCAGAATTAAGAACTAATAACGTAACATAACATATTAGAATAATAAATATTTTTGGTATATGTATTTGTTGATTCCTTCCATACAGATACTATATAAGCCAGTTATTCAAGTTATGCAACAATTTCATTAAACTATAATCCCACTAATTAAATTTATGTTTTGGTGGGATGATCGAGAAATGGGGCGTGTATGTATTTAGTGTGAAACGGGGGCCGATCGGTATAAACGATGTCCGTGGTTATCGGCTTCGCCGATAAAATAGATGAGATTTGTACGGGCACCCAGCAGTGCCTTAAATAATAGTATCCGTACATTTTTATAAGTGGCAGAGCTATACTGCAGCCACATTGTGGTTGTAACACGAACAGGTCGGCTCGACCGGTGTAGGACCACGCTCTCACAGAACACCAGCTTAAAATAGCAGCTTAATGGTACTTGCTGTGTTTCATATGATAAGTGTAAGGAACCGGAGATCTTTTTTAGTGGAAATGAGACATTCTATCTTAGTCCTCAAAAGTGAAAAGGCATTTGCATTTTGATTCTTAATCGAAGATAAATGTAGATGTCTATGGGCCCACAGCTTCCACTTACCATCGGATGGACTGTGTGCTCGTTTGTCACCCATATTATATAAAAAATACCATAGGAATGTACACTGTTCTTGGAAGTGCTTTGGAGCTTTGTATCCGTTCAGATCTGAACTCGAATCGGCGAAGTTTACAACTGCGAATGTCGTTTCGCCGTCGAACGTCGTTGCTGATACAAATACTGCAGGAAAACAGTAAGACAAATGATAAACAATTTATAGCGACCACAACATGTGCGTGCAGTTTTATGGTCTTCATTTAAAGGACAGATTTGGTATTTTTACAAGCATATTCTTTGCGGAAGACACTTGTGATTCATTCCCGATAATTTTGTGAATTTCTGTTGGCCATTGAGATCTCCGTCACCATTTTTCAAATACTCACGAAAACAATACCTATTTTGTGTTTTGTCATTGTTATAAACACCTTAAAATAGAAAACGGGATGTTATGGTCACCATTATGCGATTTTTTCTTGCTTTGTCTACATAAGTAGTAGACTACGTACACTAACAGTATCCTATCCAACGAACTTTCGTTGTTCTTATTTCCCTCCTTCCATCAAATATCCGTGAACTACCAAAAAATCGTAAGAGTCAACAGAAGAAAACTAATGGGGAGCATTTTCCTAATAACAACTCAATAATAAAAAAAAATAAAAAAAATGCGGTCGCCAACCCGCTTACCGCTCTACGCAGCTATGGCAAATATGAGGGATATTTTTGAGGCAGTCTATGAAGGAGGCACATTACATCATTGGGCTTAAATACTGTTATTATTGAATCAATGACCTACAAAATAAGGACAACAAAAAACGATATGACAGATATCACAGATGAATCTGGAACACCTCGATTTAATAAGCAAATAAGTGAAATCAGGTTCTAGGTGTCGAAATTGGAAATCAATTGTGACACCAGTTTTGGTTAGGTATTGTCCGAAGATTTCAGTAAGATAGAGATGAAGAACCGCTAGAGAGCCGTATATTACGCTGGGATACATTCGAGTATGAGTAACAAACCAGAGCAAATCTCATTAGACTAGGGAATACAAATATCACGAGAATGGTTGAGCCCCATTCTACGAGATCCCGCGAGTTTATGAATAACTCGGTTTATGAATACTGCTCGCCAATTTCGAGAATTTTATGTGTTTTCTGTGTGTATATTTGAATAAATTAGGAAAAATATAATAAGAATTATAAGTATTATAAGATAAACATTTATTTTCAGGAATTTTTTTCAATAGACTTTTATGCATCAAACATCGTTTACGTATCTGTTTATAATTTTTTAATAAACTTCTAAGTAGTAAACTTTGACGTACGTATCTATCGAATAATATATGAAAGAAACAACCAGTCTTCTCTTCTAATATCAAACAAAAATCGTTTAGTAATAAAACAGTTCTTTTATAACAAACAAAACAACGACAAATGAAAAAAATGAACCTTATTATCTAAGTTAAGTTGACTATTAAACTGAGATATTTATTATCAATTAAATAAAACTATATCTTCTCAGTAGATCCTAATATCTAATAATATTACAGATTAATTAACAAAATATTATACCAATCAAATGAAAGATTTGTTCAGTTCAAATCACAAGCCATTATTACGAATTATTTTGAAAGTAGCTCCTTAAGAAGCACAAAATGTCCAACGAATCGTCTTCTTAACGGCTTCTTATTTTGTTGGCCAGATAACAGACAGATCACAACTCCGTCCGTGTTAGTTCGCGTTTAGAATAAGACGTTTTTATGCCCGAGTGCAATTTCGTTAAACTCGCGAGATCTCGCCCTTTTTTCGTCCGAGATCAATGTCTCTAAAAAAGTCCGAGATCTCGCGAAAACGAGATTGCATTCCCTACTCATTCATTCAGCGACATTAAATCTCCGGCATCTAAAAAAATCATCGGTGAAGAATGCATTAAAATATAGTATCTAACGTATCGATTAATCCAGCATCGCTTGTTAGTATCCGAAAAATTATGACACGTCTAATAATCCTAAAAATTTTGAAAAACTTACAAATATTACGTGTTCCGTGGAACACAGACATTGTGTGCGTGCATGTGGAAGCTCAAAGTCGCTTAGCGAACTAATAATCGGTGTTAATATGGAATAGAATAAAATAACGTCCTCTAGAGTGAATTTCAGTCACTCGTCACAACGGAGCGCACCATGTGCGCACTGCTGCCAGATTGCATGAGTAAACAGAAGTGCACTCTCTATTCCCTCTCTCTCGTAGTCCGATGGGACGGTTATTCGACACGACTGGGGAGAGATTAAGCGCAGGTCTAACAATTTACCGTGCTTTCCGAGGTACGGGGGTCAAACACCGTCAACTAAATGAGTCCGGCCTGCTGAGAATTCATTGACAAAAAAAAAATATAATATAAATAATAAAATATAAAAATATTTTGGGTCGACCCGGCATTTGAACCGAGGATCTCATGATCAACAACCACGTTTACGCCCACTAGACCAACGAGGTAGTCAAGAACAAGGATAATCGACATAGCTCAACGGATAAGTAAGCTGAATTGGCAATGGAAACCAACAGAGTTTTTCTCGATCCACACTTAACGAGCTTTCTAGGCAATTAATTATTTGAAGTGGAGTCAAAGCTTAGCCTTTTTTTTTCAAGATCTGCTTAAGCGATAAACTTGTGCAAATCCCTTTCAAAACTTGGTTTGAAATTGATTGAACAAAACCTTGGGAACCTATAATAATGAAACCTATGGAACTGCGACATGGTCCTTTCTTGCCGGCCGTATTAGGAAACTGACATATATTCGCGTTAGCTATGAAAAAAGCTATGCTTGGTATCAGCCGTAACGAAAACATACCGAAAAACAGAATAATCAATTATATCCCAATGGATCAGTAAGCTAAAGTGGCAATGGATCGGCCAGATAGCTCAAAGAACTAACAATTTGTGGAGTGGTTACTGGAGAGTGGTAACTGGTAGCATTATACTGGCTATCTTCGGGAGCTATTTTAGCAATATTTATGATGGCTGTGTGGTGGTGACGACGATGATGGTGTTGATGTACATATCTCTATCAAACATAAATTTTGTCTCATTTACTTCAATTAAGTAAGAATTACGCTATCATCTGATAATTTTACTTAACTATATAATATTACCTATATTTTTTGTGTATTTCGTCATTAACACTGTAATTTATTATTATTATTGGCGAAGTTTTGACGTCGAAATGTATCCTTTTTTGGTTTCTTTTGTGCTAAATATCCTCTTGGATGACTAAAGAAGTAGGTACATGTTGCAAGGATTAAGCGGGAAGAGATTTTTAGAAATTGAACACTTTTATTTTTAGAAAGCATAGAAATGGAATTTTCTTGAAATATTTAAGAAACGTGTGAAACACATTTATGGTGGAACGAAATGCTAAAACCCGTTATTTTAATAACAATTTTAATGATTCATCAGCCGCTGTTGTGGAGATTTCATAAATCGTCACTGGGACCAAATCGTTTTGATGCTTTAGTACAATATTAGACATGAGCTACTAATACTATTGGTTCCATTTCTATAAAACCTCGTCTTATTGCTTATTTTCAATCCTCTCCTGGAACCTTAGATGGTTAGAAATAAAACATGTATAGTTATCGTAAAAAAAGAATTCAACTGTCCGTACTATTATTAGAAATGAGCTATTAATTACTATGTACTTTCATATTCAACAGATATGCAGTTATAGGAGAAAAGTAATTTAGGATATAAATTATTGTTTAACCACTACTAGTGAACTTTTAATCTATCATAACGAATATCCTGCGGATTAAAATTTGTTTTAGTACATTAATAAAATAAAAATAAATATGTAGTAAATTCTGAAATAAGTTATTTAGTTTTTTTTTTCATTGACTGAACAAAATGGCTCATAGGTCTACAGCCAGAACAGCTATGTAAATGCTAAGACAACGTAACAGCTAAACAACGCCAATTAGTAATCTAGTTCACGAATAAGTATGATTACTTATTGTTGAGCTAATATACTGTAGATTGTCTTATCTACAATATA